CTGTCTCAAAAAAAAAAAAAAAAAAAGAAACCTATCTGCTAAGCTCTGCACAGTTATATATTGCCCATTTGCACATAACTACTTTCAAGATGAATGATAATTATATGTAAGTGAAAGTAATTGATCCTTGCCTACAGAACTGGACAGTACGGATGGTGCCAAGGTTTTTAGTAAGCAACCAGGAAGAATCCAAAGAGTAGCAAGAGGATCAGGTGTGTCAACAAGAGATGTTCAAGAACTTTTGACACAATATACCAAGTTTGCACAGATGGTAAAAAAGATGGGAGGTATCAAAGGACTTTTCAAAGGTAAGAAAAATAAGCTCATTATTAGTTAACAGACTAAAAAGAAAGAAGTTAAGAAACTAAATATTAAGGTCAGGGAGTACTGCCAGACTGCCAGTACTTAATTTCACCACTGAAATTCACTACTGAATTTCATATTATATTCAAGTACTTTCAGGATTTATAATGTGATCTGTGATTTGTCTGTCTTCAGATTCAAGGAAATAAACATTAATATTTTTAAAAAGCAAATTTAATGATTTTATTTTTATTAACATATAATACATATTACAGAAAATTTAGAGAATATAAGGAAAAAAACATATTACCTTTACTTTCTGGGGAATCCAGTGAATGCTATTTCAAATAACAGTTGATATAACTGTTTTCTTCTGTTACATTGTGAATATTTTTCCATGTTGTCAAATATTCTTCAAAATATAATTTTTAACCACTAACCACCACTATTCCTGTTACGCATGTATCTTTGTTTAATGTAATGCCTCTTTTTGTTTTTATTTTTATAATTTTTTATAGAGACAGGGTCTCGCTCTTGCTCAAGCTGGTCTCAAACTCCTGAGCTCAAGCCTTGGCCTCCCAGAGTGTTAGGATTACGGGTGCGAGCCACTGTAATGCCTATTTATTGGACAGTTAGTCTGGTTTCATCTATTTCTGTATCAGTATCAATTTCTGTACAGTTCCATGAGACCAGGAATTTTGTTTGTTTTGATCAGAAATATAACATATGATGAATAATTTTGAAATATTTCCAATTTAATGGTCATATTTTTTCGATGTTTTTAGATTTCTACTTAAGTTTAATATTTCTTTGTACATATACTAGTTTGAATTTCCTTTATGAATCACCTCTTCATGTTCCTTGTCTAGTCGTTCCATGTTTTCCCTTATTTCTTTGTAATAACTCTTTAAAATTCTTGGTTTATGTCTGCAAATATTTTTTCTCCAGTTTTTCATTTGTTATTTATTTATATTTTATAATGAACAGAAGTTTACATTTTTAATGTAGCTAACTTTATCTGTCTTTTCCTTTGATTTCTTTTATGCTCTTGAAAGCCTTCCTCATGTTGATACCACAGCAGTCACTTATTTTTTCTATTCATTTTTGGTTTTATTTTTTATTTGACTCTTTATTCCAACTAGAATTTAATTTGCTATGTATTTTGTAAGATAAAAAGATAGGATTTTCCAAAGAGTTGATCAGCTGTTCTAGTCCTCTTTTTAATTTTTTTCTATAATGTAAACAACATTAAAGTGAACATATTGTTTCAAAAAATATTGATTAGGCAAGCTCCAAAGATGAATAACTCTGAAAAGAATGAGTATATACAGATGATAGATTTTTTGTTGTTGTTTGTTTTTTTTGAGACAAAGTCTCACTCTGTCGCCCGGGCTAGAGAGACGTGGTGTCAGCCTAGCTCACAGCAACTTAAAACTCCTAGCATCAAGCGATCCTTCTGCCTCAGCCTCCCGAGTAGCTGGGACTACAGGCGTATGCCACCATACCCGGCTAATTTTTTCTATTTTTAGTAGAGGCGGAGTCTTGCTCTTGCTCAGGCTGGTCTCAAACTCTTGAGCTCAAGTGATCCTTCCGCCTCAGCCTCTCAGAGTGCTAGGATTACATGCGTGAGCCACCGCACCAGCCCTATACAGATGTTTTTAATTACCTCATGTCTTTGAAAACTTTCCTTATTTTGCTTGCTTGCTATATCCTATTTTGTCTTTTGTGACGAGGGAGAAAAGTTAGAAAAACATGTTTAAATTGGCTATAATTCCGAACGTTCCATGCTATTAAGATAGTGATTAATAAACACATTATGTCAGTTTAGCATCTTTCCAAAGCGACACTATTCTTTATAGAACAGATCCATCATTTAGATATTATCTATGCAATGATTCTTTAGTAAACACACAACTAAGATGAAGTGAGCAGTGGATATGCATGATCCTCGTCACACCAAACCCTTAATATTTTAAGTCCTGAAAAACAAACTCTTAGGATAGATCACCAACAAACATGGAATTTTTATCTTCCACAGATTTATGACTTTTTCAGACTTCATCACATTTTACCATAAAAACATATCTTCTCTTCGTTTCATCCTTCTTATTTCACATAACTTATTCAGATTAACCAGCTGTGATCAGAGAATCAGAAATAGCTTTGATTTTCATTTTTATTAAATGCTCCTGGGAAGTACTATGGTTGATGCTCCATTGAAATAAATAGTTTTGTTGAAGCAATTCTACTTATTCATTGTTGCATTGATGATCTCTTTTGTTTCTTGTCTCTTAAGAATACAGTTGTTCTCTAAAGGATGCTTTTACCTGTTCTAGCCCAGAGTGCAGCTCTCTTTCATTGGCTGCTCTTTTTACTGTGGAGTTTTGAATTAGTGTATGGAAATTCCTTGAAAAATGAAGTTGTATTATATGTCTTTCTATTCTCTGAAGCTTTTTATTATTTTTTAAAAACATCTTAGATATATATAAATCTTCAAATTCTCTTAGACTCATTCTTTCATATTCATTTAAAAGCTATCCAGTCTTTTTCCTAATTAACTCATATCTATAAACTCAGCTTTTTGTTCAGCATTCCCCTATATCACTATTAAGCAATTGTTACAACCTACTATTAAGAACCACTAGGCTAATATTGCCAGTGGTGGCTTATTCACAGGTATAACTAAAAGTATTAACAAAAATCATAGCCTTAAGAAAGTCTTTTAAATGTTCCTTTATGTCGACTTTCACTTGTTCTTCAAAAAAATATATGTAATGGAGATAAAGATTAGAAGGGAATATGTAGAAGTAGAAATAATTGTATTAGAGTGGTAAGATTACATGATTTTTTTTTTCTTTGTGGGTACTTAATTGATCAAAGTTTCTATTATGCCTGGATTATATTACTTCCTATACGGACTTTAAATCATTTTCTTTTTCAGGTGGCGACATGTCTAAGAATGTGAGCCAGTCACAGATGGCAAAACTGAATCAACAAATGGCCAAAATGATGGATCCTAGAGTTCTTCATCACATGGGTAAATATCAAATTGTTGCTAGTTGCTAGTAGACGGTTTAATCTATAAGGATTAAGTTTTAATGACAAGCCTTCTGTTGTGATACTAAGAAAATAAAGATGTGTGATTTGAGGGAAATGGTCATCTGAATCCTAAGTTTAATGGTTGTAATAGCCCTATATTAGCTGAGATTTTATTCAGTCCTCTGCTGTCACCTGTGATTTTGTGTGTGTGTTTGCGAGAATGATGAAGTGGTTTACCCGTGTGATTTTTGAGCAAACTATTTAATGATCTTTTGCTTATGTTTGTTTCAGTGATCTTTTGCCCTATTTCTGGAACCTGGATATTTTTCATGATGGGATTTTGAAATTATATAAGGATTTTGAACCTCAGTTCCACTTTTACTGTGTAACCTCTGAAAAGTCCCTTAAACTTTCTAAACCTCACTTTCCCCTTCTGTAAAATCACAGATAATATGTTATCAGGAAATTGTGACAGCTAAGTGAGCTAATATATAGAAAGCATTTAGTAAAATTCTAGGCATATAGTAGATGTTCAATAAATGGGAAATTCTTTGCTTTCTGTAAGTCTGATGAAATATGCCCCCCAACCCCCACTCCCATTGATTTCTTTTTATGTAACTTAACTAGTTACAATAAGACTCTTTTGGACTTGCTCCAGAAAAAGTTTTTGTTTAGATTTATTGACCGTGTGACAGGTCCTATTCTAAGATCTTTTCATGTATCATTTTTTTTCATTTATCCCTTATAATAAGTCAATGAGGTAGGTGGTTCATTCTCTTTTATAGATGAGGATACTGATGATAATACAAATTTTTAGTTGGTATTTCTTTGAGGCTGATGACTAAATTGCAGTCAGAACTTAGTATTTTTCAAAAGTTAAAGTACTTATTAGGCAAAAGTAATGAATGTTCCAAGTTCTGTGTAATAATTATCTGTTTTTAACTCTACTTTCACTCTAGGTGGTATGGCAGGACTTCAGTCAATGATGAGGCAGTTTCAACAGGGTGCTGCTGGCAATATGAAAGGCATGATGGGATTCAATAATATGTAAAGAAGATGCCTTAATATAAACTGACTCAGTTGATTACATTATTTGCTGAGACCTCAGAGTTTCCCTCCTTTTTTGCAAATTGGGGAAAAAAAAGAGTATTTTTCTTGCCTATCTTGCCCTTCTTTTTCTTCTCATCCCTTTTCCCCTTTCTTTTCTCTTCCTTCCTTCTTCCCTCCCTCCCTTTAATATAAGGGAGAAATATATGGTTTTTGTGGAAATCATTATATTTTTGCTTTAGATTTTCTTCTGTTTTCACAATCATAACACTTCTTAAGTTAAACAAATCATGATGTAAAATTTTAGTACTGAAAGGTTTTTAATTGTCTCAAAGGCCAAGCGTTACATTTGTAAACAGTGCTGGTCAGTAGTTACATGATGTCTCAATAAAAGTGCTGTAAAATAAACTTCAAAGTGGTTATAAGTTAAGGGGTTGTTAACTTTCTTTATGGTTTAAAATGATCAGTGTATCATATTAAAAAGTCAACAGAAAAGCCAATAGATACATGTAATTTAAAACTATGCTTGGAAATATACATTTAATGGGAAATATGGTAGAGTAATTTAATCATGAGTATTAGGAACTTTTGTTTAACAGAATAATTAACATAATTTTGCCATAGAAAATCTTAGCTCTGCCATTTAAATCAAAATTCAGAATTTGGTTATAGTCACAGCATATAATGTTTTGTATATAACTTGCATTTTTTACCTATTTTTGAAGACTTATTGGCAATCTTTGGTTATTTTTAAGGCCACTTACTTTTGTTATGTTTCTTACATACCAAAAATCAACTTGAAGAAATTGATATGCTTTGATGATAATAGCTAATGTGTAGATCTCCTAATGGGAAAATTTAATTGCAAATATTAGGCTGTCACTATTATATATTAAAAATAATGAGATGACCAGGCATAGTGGCACATCCCTCTAATCCCAGCACTTTGAGAGGAAGAGGTCGGAGGATTCCTTGAGGTCAGGAGTTCAAGACAAGCCTGGGCAACATAGTGGGACCCCCATCTCTACAAAAAATTAAAAAATTAGCCTGGCGTTGTGGCACACGCTTGTAGTCCTAGCCATTCTGGAGGCTGAGGCAGGAGGATTGCTTGAGCCCAGGAGTTTGAGGTTATAGTGAGCTATATAATTGCACCACTGTGCTATAGCCTGGGTGACAGAATGACCTGTCTGCTTATTGGTTACCTTGGATTGCTGCATAGTTAATTTACAACAATTGCTTTTAAATAAATTATGGGATTGAAAATACTATTATAGAATAATTATTATTCCTATTCATTTTTGACATGATAAAGATAATAGGTATGGTGTAACAATATATTTTGAATTAGGGTGAACTGGTCTTTAGCAAAGGATTGATTTGTAGTAGTAGGAGAGAATGAAAAAATGGATAGTTTTTATGGTATTAATTTTTTATGACTGAAGTGTTTAAAAAAGGTCTTATAAGCCAAAGTATCTTTAAAAAATAATTACATAAAGAATGTAACTGATTTTTGTGTTTACTTGGGGCAAAGATTTTATATCCCAATAATTTTTTCACCAGCTAAAGGCAAGAATAACCCTATAAAACATTGTATACCGTGTAAAAATGATGTATCTTGTGTTCTGTGGAAATGTTATAGCAAGGTCCAGCAATAGAAATTTGACAATAGAGAAAATATTGTTCTCCAAAGTAGTTTGTAATTAAACTGATGCATACTACCTTTTCTTGGTACACATTTTTGTGATTTCTATTCTTGGGGTATCAATTTTGCATTTTGACCAAAAATGGAAAATGAGACCTTTGGCCATAATAAACTTTATGGCTTCAGTCATAGTGTTAAATATTATTGTGTCTGGCTGGGTGTGGTGGCTCACGCCTGTAATCCTAGCACTCTGGGAGGTCGAGGCGGGAGGATCATTTGAGGTCAGGAGTTCAAGATCCACCTGAGCAAGAGTGAGACTCTGTCTCTACTAAAAATGGGAAAAAAAAAATTAGCCAGGCAACTAAAAATAGAAAAAATTAGCTGAGTGGCTTACCTCTGTAGTCCCAGCTATTCCAGAGGCTGAGGCAGGAGGATTGCTTGAGCTCAGGAATTTGAGGCTGCAGTGAACTATGATGTCACCACTGCACGCTACCCAGGATGGCAGTGAGACTCTGTCTCAAAAAAAAAATAAAAAAAACCAAAAAAGGAAATTGAATCCCCCTCTTTACTCCTTTCATATTTAAAAAAAACCTGATTTCATGTCTGAGTGTGGTGACTCACGCCTGTAATCCCAGCACTTTGGGAGGCCGCAGGAGTCTCGTTTGAGGCCAGGATTTCAAGACCAGCCTGAGCAAGAGCAAGACCCTGTCTCTACAAAAAAAAAACAAAGAAAAATTAGCCAGGCATCGTGGTATGTACCTGTAGTCCCAGCTACTTGGGAGGCTGAGGCAGGAGGATCACTTGAGCCCAGGAGTTTGAGGTTGCAGTGAGCTGTATGATCAAGCCACTGCACTCTAGCCTGGAAGACAGAGTAAGACCCAGTCTTAAAAAAATAAAAAATCAATTTCTTAGCTTTTTGATATCTGATATATTTCCCAACTTCACTAGCTAGCTAGCTATCATATCACTATGATGCCACATTAAATTTTTCCTGAGTTTTATTGTTACTTAAATATATACAAACATAAAACTAAGTACAGGTTCCTAAGCTTACAGTGCTTATGTAATTTTAAAACAAAAACAAATTTAGAAATTAAATATCAACAAACTACAAAACCAAGAAAGGGCAAATTAATTTAAATGTGGTCAACGTCAATGTTCTCCTCAAAGTGTCATATTTGCTGGCATATAAAATATAATGCTATATATATGCATAATGCATTGCAGTTTTATGGAGGAATTTTTGGGAAAAAAGTGCTTTTTATAATGTAGTAAATGTGTTACACAGACTATTATTTTGTTCAAATAAATACAATATATTACAATGTGAAAGGAAGTCCTCAGTTCTGATATGCGGTAACATTGTACTAACCTTGAATAGAAATAGTGTCACATAACTAAAAAGAAATATAGTGTTATAAATGAGTACTGACAAACTGGTGGCAACAAAACCAGGAAATTTACTGGAGCTAAAGTCCTATATCATGCATATTAATGTAAAGGTAAAATTAATACATTAATATTTCAGTGAATTTAGGAGGTCTAAATAATTTTAGAGGTAAACCATAATATAAAATAAATTTGAATGAATTTCTTTTACAGGTAGCTCTAGTATATATAAGCATATAAGCAAATATTTCAGTGAAAAATGGAACAGTGTTTAAAAATGTGAAGGAATTTCAACTTGATGCTTGTGTATACAGTAAAAGAAAGTATTTTACTATTTGAATAGAGCAGCCAAAGAATTTGAATAAGCTCTAATGAAAATGACTATGTCAGTGAGAATCATGATTAAATAATTAAATATAAATAATTATTGATCTTCCTCAAAATATAGAAATGGTTATTAATAAAACTCAGTAAATAATCATATCCGAAACCAGAAAGCCATCATCACAGCTTGAATCTGGAGATTCTCTTTATCATTGACATTCATTGGATTAGAAATTGAGTCATTACCTTCAAAATTCTGCTCCAAATCCCAGTGACCATGTTCTAAACATTAAGGTGTTGCATGCAGCTTCAACCTGATGCCTTTTTTGCTTTTGAGTCCTAAGTTACCGGAATGGTGAAATTACATATCAAATGCTGGGCCATTAATTTAAACTTTACCTATAGATCAGTTGTGTAGCCTGTGGCTTGTGATTTTTGTAAAGTAGTTAATAGACATGATGTGAAATTTGCTATGATAGTTTTTCCCCACACTTTGCCTGGAGGGATAAGTAACAATTTGTGTTCAGTGTTGAGTAGTTGCTCACCTAAGACCTTCAGCTTTTGAGGTCTTGTATTAACTTCTTACCTGTAATATGGGCATATTGAGTACAAAGTAATTTTCTGGTTCTTTTAAAGTAAAAATATACCTTGTAAGCGGGTAATTATGGTACTTCTCCTTTTATTAATGTGCTGACTGCCACACAAGTTCTTTTGAGTTTGGCATGCATACACTGCTTTTTGCAGTTCCCTTATTACTTTTAACTCTCTTAGTTTGAAATCATCATTTGAAGAGCATGTTATACATTTTAGCTTCACTTGGCTTAAAAGGGTTTTCTCATTAGTCTGAAACAATGCATTTCTTGGTACCACGTTGGATCACAAATGGAAAAACAGCCAAGACATTGCTCAGTAGTACTTACTTGTAAGATGGATAATTCAGATGAACCTGACACTAAGAAATTGCCCTATGGGCCCTGAGGCTCCTCTGACACTACTGCATATAAGCTTTTCCTACTCAGGGGAAGGCAGTCTGTGACTGTGATCCATTTTTCTTAAGCAAAATATGCTAAAGTTTTGTGACCCTCTTTCCAGAGAGAGTTCCTTATCTGCAGCAGGTGAGAACATATAATGAATGTATGCATATTTGCATATTTCAGGAATCATGTTTGCTTGCTTTTTATGTTTTTATAAATAGAGAAACTTGCTCCTTAGTGACCTCCCTCCTCCCAAAAGGTAGGAATTGTTATTGGATATTGTCATTGGCCCATACTTTCTGACCTTAGAAAATCAATTAAGGGGTTCATAATCTCAGTTCTGGCAAAAGTGGTACAAGAAATAGCTGCATGTTTATTAACAGGCCATTTGATAGGAAATAGGAGTGTGAAGCCCTTTAGGTGATGTGTGTCCCTTGACTTTCTGCAATTTCCTTCTTACTGTATTAAAAAAAATATATGATCTCGCCCTGAGAGGCAGGATCTTAATTGTGATCTTTAAAGATCAATAACATAATTCTTTACAGGATTACACTGCTCTCCAACATTGAGATTACTGAATTTAGGCATAGCATGCAAAGAAAGCTAGTATTTTATGACTAATACCATATAGAAAATTCTGGTAGCTGAATATCAATAGTGTATTCTCACCACACCCCCGACCCATACCTGACCAAATTTCAATTAACAAACCAAATATGTTTACATAACATCAAATTTAAAAGTTTACTTGGTATTTTCATCTGCTTCTTACATATAGGGCCTTCAAGCTTACTAATGGCTATTCCTTATAATAGACTTCAGAAAATAAACATACTTTACTCATTTCCATCTGGATCTTTCTAAATATCACACTCTCATTTGGTTTAGAAATTTCCTGCCTTCTAACATTTAATGGTCTGTTTTTGACATTTTCATCGTCAAAGGGGCAGAGTGGCTAAGAGTGTAGGTTCTGGAATCAGACTGCCTCGGTTTGAATCCTGGTTCTGCTGCTTACCAGCTATGCCCTTGAGTAAACTACTTAACCTCTCTGAGTCTTTGTTTCCTCATCTATAAAATGTCAGTAACTATAGTAGTACTTCTGAGTTGTGAGGAAGAAGAGTTAATATCAGGAAAGTCCTTAGCACAGTACCTGGCATATTGGGCTCCATAAGTGAAGACACTATTGTTACTTAATAATTTCTTTTATAAAATCTTTATGCTTAGGATCAACCTAAATGCATTTTTATTTTTATCACCTTTTTTCTTATGTGTCATTTTTGATGAAAATATATTCTATTTGCGGGATAGGATAACCTGAAAAATACTCTCTCTCTATATATATACACACACGCACACACACACACACAGAGCTATGTTAAAACCATAGCAATGCCTTGTTTATTTAATTAACATTCCTGGTTATCAAATTTTATTCAGATTTATTTTCCCAGCCTTACATTGAAATGGGTAGATCTAAATTTTCCTTTTTAGCCCTACATGCTCCATTATATGATTGAATTTAGACCACAATTATGTTTTTAAGAATATAAGTTATAATAATACTTGAATTTACTTTTTGTCAGAGTGAGAAGTGAAAAAGGAGAAGTTTGACTTGTTGCTTTATTGCCTACTTTTAGTAGAGCTGTAACAGTTTGGAAATAATGACAAAAATGCAAATGCCCAAAAGAAAACCATTAGTATTTCTATGCTTTTATGTTGTTTTGAGTTGTTGATGTGTAATAAACTGTTCTTCAATTGCATGTTTGTGTTAAAGATATCTTTTTAGGAAATATTTCCATTTCATGTTGGAATATAACTTGCAGTTTGAATTTTCGGTAAACTAAGAAATATACTTGTAAACCATAAAAATATATTCTGTTTCAGCAGTGAAATTTTTAATTTTATGTTTAACTGCCAATTTGGAAAATGAAATGCAATTATAAACATTCCACAAATTTTTAATAATAAAGATTGTTGATTTCCTTTCTTGCCAGTAAGAGGAAAGAAATTTTGAATCCATGTAATGTAGAACTCTGTTGTTTATGAAGGCCAAGTCATGAAGTCTTTAACAATTGGCTCTTTATTTTTGTTTTCAATTTATTACAGAGTTTGGTTTTGCTGTTTTGGACTGTCTCAACCCCTTGCTAATGCCACCATACAGCATTGGATCATGTTACTAACTTGTTTACTTCAGCAGCAACCTAATTTGATTTTATTACAAGAATATAGAGCATTATGGATTTCCAACCAGTTTTTAAAATATAGATGGTCTTCAAATCATTGTTTTTAAGGTTTTTGGTTTTGTTTTTAGATTCTTACAATTAGAAGTAGGATAGAACATGTACAAGAATATTAGACAGAGGTAAGGAAAAAGAACTTTTGCTCAGAAAAGAAAGGAATATTTAAGGCTGTGAGGGAGTTTGACCTGTTGGTGCCATGCTCAATAATATATACTAGGTCATAAAACTTTAGGGAGCATTTCTGAATTGGCACTGCCATGAAAATGGAATCTAAAGTGTCAAACAAGTCTGTAGCTGAAATAATGTATGTTTTATTTTTTACCTCTACATATTTGTAAAGACTTTCATGTTAAAACAACAATAAAAAACCATTTACCTAGAGATGCTCCAACTCGTTTGATGTTAAAGTCATGCAGTAATCATTGCGATGAGGATTTTTAAAATACGGTTGAACACTCGGAAAAATGGAACAAGTCTGGGATGCCCCCCTTACACACGTGAACGCGCATGTACACACACACACACACACACACACACACACGGCCTACAACACAGATCATATAATGTTTGTCAGTTGTCAAGATGGAAGCCTACTACAGCGCTTTGCTCTCAGGTCTTATCACTTAACTTTTTCTACAGTTATACTTAAGCATTTCAGACAAGTGTCAGCAAAAATCATCCTTGGGGCTCTTATTTCGAGAGTATTTTGGCTGGACTGTCATCCATGTTAGGAATGGAATGTGTAGCACGAGCCGTGCATTTTACAATACATTTCAGCAACCACATCTCACCAGTAGCCTTTGAAGCAGAGTACGCAGCTGTTCTCATTTTATAAGTGCAGCAACCAAGGTCTGGGAGGGTGATTGCCTGGCGCGCAGCTGGGCAAAGGCTGCGCCGGGATCCCGACGCCAGGCTTCAGGTACAGGTACGAGGCATGACGTCACAGGTGGTGCCAGGCAGGGGCTCCGCGGGCTCCGGACGTGGGCCGGGCCGGAAGCAGCGCAGCGCGAGGCCCCGCCCGGCCAGCGGGCAGTTGCGCCTCTCAGGCTGCAGTCAGCCGGCTGCCGGGTGCCGAGCCAGCGGGCGAGGCGCGGGCCGGCCCCGCCCCTCAGGCCGGCCCCACCCCTCTCGGCCATCAAGTCGCTCTCACAGTGACTTGGCGGGGCGCGGCGCGAAGCGGGCGCTGCGGGTGAGTCCCACTTCCCGATAGCCGGGCTCGGCCAGCGACTGGGCGGGGAGGTGGAGGATGGCAGTGAGCTTATCGGCCATTACCCTCTGTCTTGCTAGCGCCAGCAGCCCTGTGGCGGCGACCACGATGGACCGGGAGCCAGTGGGCCGTGTGGAAGGAGAAGAAGTCTCAGCGTCGGGAGCGGCGGCCGCTGCGCCATTCAGGGAACCGGCGCGGCAGGTAGGTGGGGCCGCGTAGGCTGAGACCAGGAGAGCCAAGCCTCCCTCTTTACCTGGTCCGCGGGCTGCCCCTTTGGCCTGCCCGGCCTTCCTCCCAGCAGGCCGTCGCCGGACATGGGTTTCGGGGTTCCTCCTCACCGTACCCCTGACTCTGCTCGGTGAAACCGGCTTGTGGGAAGGAGCGGACGCCCGTTCCCAGCGGAGGCGCCCCACGCTCACCAACGCCGTCGCTGGCCGCGCCGCAGTCCCTGGGGCGCCCTCGGGTTTCCGGGGGTGATATTCCAGCTTCTGTTCTGCAAGCGAGAGAAGGAAGGCATGCCCCCAAAGGCTGTCCTTAGAGAAGCTGAAACCTGGTGACGGTGGCGTCAAACGCTTTTGAGTCTCTTTTACTGCAAGCGCCTGCCTTGGCAACTGGCCTTTGGTTAGCTAATAGCAACTATATGCTAAGCGTTTACAGGTCTTAATTCGCTCGATCCTTATAATAACCGCTGGAGTGGGCGTTATCTCCATTTCACCAAGGAGGTAACTAAGGTTCAGAGCTGTGCTGCCCGACAGAAATAAAATGCAAGCCTCAATGAAAATTGCAATTGGAAAATTTTCCAGTAGCCACTTCAAAAAGTAACCGGTGATATTAATTTTAATATCATGTATTATTTAACCCAATTTATCAAAAACATTTCAACCTATACTTAAAGTTATTAATGAAGTATTTTGCATTCTCTTTTTTGAGTCTTTTCTAAGTCTTTGAAATCCTGTGTGTATTTTACACGCAGCAAATCTCAGGTCCTACTGGCCACGTTTCAAGTGTGCATTGGCCACATGTGGCTAGTGGTTACTGTATTGGACAGTACTGGTTTAGAGAGTTAGGTACAGTTTGTAGATTTGTTTTGGAAATGGTAGTCAATTAGTAGTTTAGGACCTTTGGCCAAGTAAAACTAATGAAGAAATTGCTTTAACTGAAACTGGCTAAAGAGTATTCAGTTTTGGCTGTTAAAAACCTGGAGTTGCGGGCTGGGCGCGGTGGCTCACGTCTGTAATCCTAGCTCTCTGGGAGGCCGAGGCGGGCAGATTGTTTGAGCTCAGGAGTTCGAAACCAACCTGAGCAAGAGCGAGACCCCGTCTCTACTAAAATTAGAAAGAAATTAAGAGCGAGACCCCGTCTCTACTAAAATTAGAAAGAAATTAAACAACTAAAAATATATAGAAAAAATTAGCCAGGCATGGTGGCACATGCCTGTAGTCCCAGCTACTTGGGAGGCTGAGACAGGAGGATCGCTTGAGCCCAGGAGTTTGAGGTTGCTGTAAGCTAGGCTGACGCCACGGCACTCTAGCCCGGGCAACACAGTGAGACTCTGTCTCAAAAAAAAAAAAAAAAAAAAAAACCTGGAGTTGCTCATGTGTAGTAACCTTCCAATCCTCCGTGAGAATGAAGTTTTTTCAGTAGCTTTGTTTTTGAGACTAAGTATCTGAATGTTAGTAAGACATTTCCCTCAAACTGTGAGTATAGCTCTTACAGTATAAGATGTAGTGTGCATTAACAAAAACTTTTCCACATACTAGTTTCTATGGAATTTCTTGTTTTTTCTTCTGTGTCAGGAGGAGGAGGATAACATGCAAGAAGGAATTCAGGGAACAACACTAATTGATTAGGGAGCCACTTCATTTTCAGTTGAGACCTGTTGACAGGTACACTTGAACTTAACCTTTAAGTCCACAATACTTGATGTGCTTTTTCCATTTGATTTTTTCCTTTTTTGTTACTAGAATTGTTTTTATCGTTACTTCAGCTTTGAATCTCTCTAATGGCAAAGTAAACGTACCTGTACTGATATAGCAGATATTTGTTGTTTAAAGAGAGGCTCTTTGTTTTGGTTTTGGTATTATGTTGTTTTTATATTCTTGGTTAAAAAATAAATATTTAAAGAGTAAAGAGGGCTGTAGAGTGAAAGGTAAAAATTCACAGGAATATCCACCACCCTTTCCTCTCATTCTCGTTCTCCAAAAGTAACTATTAAGTTTTGGTCTATTCTCTCTGGGATTTTCTATGCAAATACTACCTTTTCTGTCTTGTTAAACACAAATGAGTTTGTACTATACAAACTGTTTTCTGATTTGTCCTTTTTGCTTTCTCATTCACATTTCTAAAGCAGAAACATCTCTGGGATCCCCAGATCTATGCCCAGGGGTTTGAGCACAATAAGAGGGAAAAGGCCAGAGCAGTGGAGATTTGGGTGGAGGGGAAGAGGCTATCATCTTATACTCCTTCCCAAGTTTAGCAAAACTGAGAAATCCCAAGTGCCATGTAGGGAAGGGAGTAAGAGATAGAAGATTGGGTCTAGAATTAGGCCTCTAACCAGGCCATCCAGTACCTCTTGTGATGTTCTATCCAGCAGCTTCTCTGAATAGACTTTTAACCAGAATCTCAGCCTTAATATTATTAAAGGAGTTAAAATTTCAGTACTATTTATTTATTTAGCACCTCTATTACTGTGGAGGCTAAAGCAACTCCATCTTGGATGCTAACTGGCCGTATTAACTTCTGATTAACCCCTGTTTTGGGAATGCCTCTAAGATTTCTACTTTATCTACTGTTACTACTTTGTCTACTTTTTAATTTACTTTATCTACTGTTAAATTGTTAAATCCTGCCCTTAGGCAGATTCACATAGCATTCTTTCCTTTCCCTGAGTGGTCACTTCAATTGTCCTACCCATTCCTTCCCTGTCGTTTATAAGCCCTGGGTCTGGTGGGTAATGGCACCGGGATCCACAGTCTCAAGTCAACCAGGATGTGGCTTCTGTTCGTAAGGCCCTATTAAGTGTTTTTTTCTGAGAAACTGGATTTGCCAGCCCCTTTCTTTGGCCTCTTAGCTTCCTCCGACTTTGCAGTTAGGTTTGCATAGACCTGCTCACCTTGGAACAGTTACCAAGCACTTACTATGTGCCAAGAACTGTAGGCTAAAGGATATAGAAATGCCTACCTCCATGTTGCTAACAACCTAGTCGGGGAAGGGATACAGAATAAATTCCAAGTGTAGTACCTGCTTTAAATAAGTTCTGGCTGCTGTGGGACTATATAAAAAGAAAATTGCCATTAAAAACAGGTCCTGAGAAACAGATTTACAGCTTGATTAACCGTAAAATGTTAATTGACATTGTATTTCATAATTTCCCGGTGTTATGAAACTATCTTTTCAGATCTTTGTTTGTTTGTTAAAGTGGTGGAATTTATATAATTGACAGTGAAGATTTTCTTACTTGCAAATTTACTATTTGTAAAAATGAAACGTTTGGAAAATTCGGAATAACTTTTATTTATAATTACTGGAAATTTTGTATCACATTATTTTCTGGTTGGTTTTACCTGTCAATGCCTGCCTTCACTGGGTTGGAATCACATGTCATATAGGGTGAGTATTCCAAATCTGAAATGCTCCAAAATCTGAAACTTTTTGAATGTTCTCATGGTTCTCAAAAAAAATGCTCATTGAAACATTCTGGATTTTGGATTTGGGATGCTCAACCAGCAAGCATAATGCAAATGTTCCAAAATCTGAAAAAATCTAAAATCCAAAATACTTGCATTTTGGATAAAGGATACTCAACCTGTATTGTCTTTCACAGGTTTTTTTTTTTTTTTTTGAGACAGAGTCTCGCTTTGTTGCCGGGGCTAGAGTGAGTGCCATGGCATCAGCCTAGCTTACAGCAACCTCAAACTCCTGGGCTCAAGCAATCCTTCTGCTTCAACCTCCCAAGTAGCTGGGACTACAGGCATACGCCACCGTGCCTGGCTAATTTTTTCTCTCTATATATATTTTTAGTTGTCCAGATCATTTCTTTCTATTTTTTTAGTAGAGACGGGGGTCTCGCTCTTGCTCAAGCTGGTCTTGAACTCCTGACCTTGAGTGATCCACCCGCCTCGGCCTCCCAAAGTGCTAGGATTACAGGCGTGAGCCATCGCGCCCAACCTTTCACAGGTTTTTTTATTTGCCAGTCTGGTTCCTTAAGATCAGAGGTTGACAGATTACAGCCTATGGGCCAGAACCAGCTAGCCACTTGTTTATGTAAAGTTTTATTAGAACGTGGCCATGCCCATTCATTATGTAGTGTCCATATAAGTGGCTGCTTTCACACAGTTCAGTTGTGACAGAAATTATATGGCCCACAAAAGCTAGACTATTTATTATCTGGCCTTTACAGAAAGTTTGCTGATCCCCACTGAAAATGATAAACCTAAAATTTGGATTTTACTATATCAAAAATTAATATTAAACTTTTTAAAGAAAGTCCTTAAATAAAAATCTTTATGTGAAATATAATTAGAACAAATAAAATGCCATTTCAAATGAGGTGTTATGTGTAGAGGATGTTACTCATGGTTCTGTTTATACTTATCCAGCTTTGGAATTGTAATGAAAAACATGAATCATATTTCTTCCTTCTCCTTTGTAGATTTTTTTTAAACTTTTGGAAAGACCATAGCTAAGAGTCAGGTTAATGGAGATTTCATACTAGTCGTTATGACCTGGCCAGATTGCTTTATTAAAGTTGTTTAAGGAAGATAAAGTGGTTAAGCCAATGAGAGACATTCCTTCTCCTTTGCCTGTGTCTTAGGAAAAATTAAGCCAACGAGAGATTGCTAGAGGGAACAGTGAGAAGCTGCTTCTGCTCTTGTAGGGGTGGTGGTGGGGAATAGGGTGGGGCATAGTAGAATATTGTGAAAGATCTGAGATCTCTTCACTGACTGGGGCTGTTGTGTTGGTATTAGACCCATCCAGTTAATATGACTGGGGATCTAACCTATCTCCTCTGGCTTTCCTTTGTATAGGAAATTAAGGGATCCAAAAAGCTGAGTCATGGTCCGAAAGGAAATCTTAGTGTCAGGACAACCATAAGCCAAATCTTATCTCAAGGGGAAACACGAGATTGTGTAGGAATGGCTCTCAGTGCCTGGGGACCTGGGGTCGGGGGAGTTGTAGAAGAAAGGTGGCCTGGGTAAACCACTTGTCCATATGTTCACGGACACAATAAATGGGCTGATCTTCTTTTATCAAGGGCTGGGATTTGTTTGAACCCTCAGAATGAACTGGAGAGAATTGGGAATTTTTTTCAGGTTAACCCATAGATAGCCTTATTAAAGTTTTCATGATCTGCAGTTTGCTATATGGCAGTTATAGTTGCTGTCAGTGATGTTCATATGTGCCATGGAACGATGTATGTGTTCTTTGGGTTGGGTATACCTGCATTCAAACCCTGGGTAATGACTAAATTTACCTTTGGGAAGTAAAGGACAGAGAAAAACCATATCTGTTTTCTAAGAAGGACCTTAGAAAACAATGCATAAAAATAAAGTAGTTTATACTGGTATAACTGGGCAATTGTAGTTTATTATTTTTATCAGTATTATCCCATCTCTGCAACAGCGATTCAAAAAACTTTTCTAGTGGTTAAACAGTAATCACGTATTTAGATTACGTTTGCCCATAACTATAAGAATCCTGAATTGGGTGTGATGGTTTGTAATCCCAGCTGAAGTGGGAGGATGGCTTCAGACCAGGAGTTTGAGACTAGCCTGGGCAACACAGATGAGACACTGAATTTAAAACAGCAACAACAACAACCAAGAAAAAAAAGCCAAATTCCCAAGAATCCTTATAGAGGACAAACTTTTTTTTTTTTTTTTTTTTTAAAGCATGGCAAGGAAGACTCTATTCAGGACCACTGCCATAGGTATAGGGACCACTGCAACAGGGTCTTGCAGTAGAGGAGAGAGACTGGGCTCATCTCCGAGTATAGCACAGGCAAGTGGAGATTTATAGCCAAGGAGCAAGGTGGGTTCGAGGATGAAAAATGACTAAGAGGAAACATCAGGGTTGGGGGTCTCTGGCTTAACTGACCTAACAGATTCCTGCTGCAGCCAGGCCAGGCTGACCAGACACCACCTGGGGGATGGCAGGGAGTGAGGAGCCTGGTCAGATATCAGAAGAGACCAGAGACCGAGGGTGGGGTTCTTGCTAAACTGACTTAGCAGGGTTCTTTGGTAAAACTGAATTTTACAAAAAAGTGTATAGAGTGGCCTACCTAGGAGAAGGTTCAGGAGGCTGAATAAAGTTTGGCCACGCAAAGAATCTTTGTCAGTCCCATTAGTTGTTGGTCACCTTTTGTTCAGCACGGGCCAGCTGAATCATCTGCTAGGGCTCGGCAGTCAGGACATCTGCTGGACGATGTGAGCTGTCAGCCCGTTAATGAGGGGCGTTTAGTTTCTATTTCAATTTAAAAAAAAAAACAAACAAAGATTAATAATTGGAACAACTATAAACTCAGTTTCTGAGTCCAGAGGGCAACAGTCAAGAAGATTTCTAGGTACTGGGCCTGAAACATCTTCGGATGGAGCAAGAATAGGCTCTAGCAATCTGACAGATTTCCCTGGTTTGCAGTTTGCGTGTTTTGAAGGTTGTCTGTACATGAACTATTGTGATTTCTCTGAAGTTAATATCAAGTTGTTCAGCTTGCGGGACTTCAGAAAAGGGCAGTTTTAATTATCAGTGATTCTGGCCATTTTTTCCCAAGGGGCTTTATTGGCTTCATAAAGTCAACCTTAGTTTCTAAAGTTGTCTGGTCATATCTGAAAATATAACATTCCATTCAAAGCCTTGGTAGTATAACCATTTCCTCAGTTGTACCCAGCTTGAACAAAAGTTTGTCCAGAGCAATGGTTCAAGGGTCTGACTCATCAATGGATCCCACAGTTAGTCAGGAGAGAAGACAAAGGTTGTAAAGATGCACACTGAGGGGCCTTGGTGAGAGGCCCGAAGGTCCCATGGTGAATCTGATTCTGAATTGCAGCACCATAAACTCCCTCTCTCCGAGGCTGCTGATGCAGTGCCAGCAAATAGGAAAGTGCCCGTTGAGCACACTCCATGCTTTGTTCACGATCATGTTTGACAAACTAACACTTCTGACTGAATCTTGTGGGCCTGCGTGGTAGCTCCGCTCCCCAGGACAAACTTTTTGAACTCTGGACTATTCTGGAGAATTCTACCAACATGGACTCTAATCATGACAGTCCTGTAGTCCTGTATCATTTACTTTGGTTTAGTTTTGGCATACTAGTAATACACGAACATATTCCATCCCAAAATAGCAACAATAAACAACAAAATGCAAAAAGAATAAAAGGCTTCCTTGACTACTCCCTTGTCTTATACCTTCTCCCCCATCTTAGTTTCTGTCTGTGGGGATGAGCACTGTTGCCACATTTTTCTTCACAGTTATGTATACTGTGTCTTTTTGAAATCTAGGAGTTTAAACTTAAGGCAAGATGACAGTGAAAAGCACCTCTTCACCATCTCCCACAATATACATTTACTTTAAGTTTGGAAATTACATATGAGGTAAAATTAATATTTCCTTAGGAGTGAAATTGGGATTTAAATAGAATTCCATAGACTGCTGTAGTTTTAACATTTGTAATATCTGGCCATGTGTGATGGGAGGCCAAAGGAGGAGGATAGCTTGAGCCCAGGAGTTCAAGACTAGCCTGGGCAGCATAGTGAGACCTCTTCTCTACAAAAAATAAAAAAAATTAGCTGGGTGTGGTGGCATGCGCCTGTAGTCCTAACTATTTGAGAGGCTGAGGTGAGAAGATTGCCTGAGGTCCAGATTTCAAGGTTGCAGTGAGCTATGATTGTACCACTGCACTCCAGCCTGAGCAATAGAGTGAAACTCTAGTTCTTAAAAAAAAAATTATAAAATCTTTTGATTATCAATCTCTATTGTCACTATATATTATTGACTAAGACATCTGGAAGTTCAGAGATAGAACACTAATGGTCTGCTTTCCAGATTAGGTTTATAAATGGGTTTTATTTGGCCTGCGCAGTGTTTAAAATTTTTTTTTTTTTTCAATTTAAATGTCTTTAGCTGGGGCATGCATTCTCCAGCGTCTGCTCTTCCCTATATAACAGTGGTCCCCAACCTTTTTGGCACCAGGGACCTGTTTTGCGGAAGATAATTTTTCCATGGATTGGGGTGGGGAATGGAGGGATTCAGGTTGATTCAAGCACGTTACATTTATTGTACAGTCATACCTCTCTGTTAATGATAATTTGTATTTGCAGCTGCTCCCCAGCACTAACATCACCACCTCAGCTCCACATCAGATCATCAGGCATTGGATTCTTATAAGGAACATGTGCAATTTACAGTAGGGTTGGAGCTCCTATGAGAACGTAATGCTGCCAGTGATCTGACAGGAGGCAGAGCTCATGCGGTGGTGCAAGTGATGGGGAGCAGCTGTAAATACAGATGAAGCTTCACTTGCTTGCCTCCCACTCACCTTTTGCTGTGTGGCCCAGTTCCTAACAGGCCATGGACTGGTACTGGTCCGTGGCCTGGGGACTGGGGACCACAGCTGCATAGCTTCACTCATTTTTGGTACCTGCTTGACCCTAAAAGGCATTTGAATTTAGGACTCCTATTTTGAAAAAGGAGAGGTTTAAGCTGACTGTTTTTCTTTTGCTTATATAATACATAGCTAAGGTCAAATCCAAAGACTTAGGAGAGTTCCCTGATATAAACTATTATTTTTATTTTATTTTATATTTCTGATATGTGTGTGTGTGTAACTATATGATTTTCCTTTGATATTATAATCTTTCCATAATTACCATTATTCTTTAAAGTTATTTATGTCCAGCAGTCCTTCATGTATATAAAAAATTGGGATTACTATGACTTAGTGTGGTGCTTAATTTATTGTTGATGTAAATAAAAAGTTTAATTGGTTAAGGTCTGTTTTGTAGCATCAGTGAGTATGCAGATGTTTACTTTGGGTTATTCATTAAACTCTGCATACACAGTATGCTATGGATACTCATGTAAGATTTGTTTTTTTAAGGGAAAAAAGCTGCTTAAAGTTTATTTTTTTCCTTTATCCTCTAAAATAAAGCAATCAAAATTTTTTTGTGTGTAATGAAAGAAAATCTCACTTGAAACTCTCATTTTCTTAATTTATTATTGATATAGATGAGTAACGAGAGAGGCTTTGACAATGTAGAACTGGGAGTCATAGGAAAAAAGAAGAAAGTCCCAAGGAGAGTCATCCACTTTGTTAGTGGTGAAACAATGGAAGAATACAGCACAGATGAAGATGAAGTAGATGGCCTGGAGAAGAAAGATGTTTTGCCAACTGTTGATCCGGTAAGTTTGATATTGATAATCCTTTAGTCAATAGGCTTTTTTTTTTTATTAATTTGTTTCTTGAACATTGAATGGAAGGGATCTTTTGAGGTTTAAATTAACTATATTCTGGTTATAAAATTATGTGTTATGATTTTGTTAGAAAATGTTATTTTTATACAATATGAATGGAAATATTTCAGCATTTTTAGTAACCTTAAACCATTTGTTTTTCAGTGTCAGGATACTTTGTCAGCGTGACTAGATTTCTTTATCTTACTAAATTAAGTGCTTAAACCCTAGTTCCTTTGAATTAAGGACTGTACTACCATAATAGTTTCCACCCAAAACTTAGGAAATTGTCAGTTCTCTTTTATGTTGCCTCAAGTTTTAATTAGAAGATAGAAATATACAGTTCTTAACTTGGTGTGCCTCACTAGCTAAATTTAAGAATTTCTAAATTATACAAGATGTGACTATAAAATTATGAGACTAACTATATTTTTTAAAAAGGAGTAGTTTAAAAAGTCTGGGTGATCACATATTCACTGACTTTCTAACGTACCATTTTAGGCACTGATGATACAGCAATCAACAGTATAAATTTCTGCCCTTTTTTTTTTTCTTTCAGCCAAGAAATTTCTGCTCTATGTACTAGTTGGAAGACAGGCAATAAACAAATAAATATGTACTATAATTATCAGGCTGTGAAAAGTGCTATAAAGAAAATAAAGCATAGTAACAGAATTATTAATACTTGACTTTAAAAATGATTATCAGATTTGGCTCTAAGTAAATTTTGGCTATTAAAACACACCCAGATTTTCTACTACAGAAAATATTCAAAGGATTGTACAATATACTCTGAAGGTAGTTCCAAATGTATGTATTAATAGAATATTACAGAGATGTTTCATGCAATGGAAGAGTTATTGGAATAAATGTCTTCTTTTTAAATTATTTTGGAGGGATTAGTTCATATTTGTCTTTTTTTATTTCAAAACTTATTTTTTTTTATTTGTGCATATTATGGGGGTATAAATGTTTAGGTTACGTTGCCCTTGCCCCCTGTCTCAGTCAGAGCTTCAAGCGTGTCCATCACCCAGATGGTGCGCATTGCACTCATTATGTATGTGTGTACTCCTCCCTCCTCCCATCTGCCCGACAACCGATAAATGTTATTCTCATATGTGCACTTAGGTGTTGATCAGTGAAACCAATTTGCTGGTGAGTACATGTGGTGCTTATTTTTCCATTCTTGGGATACTTAGTAGAATGGGTCCCAGCTCTATCCAGGACATATTTGTCTTTATAAACATGGGTATATGTTTTAAAAAGTCATTGCCTCAAAAGTTGGCCTGTATTTACATAGAAACTGAAAAGAAAGGCATTGTCATAACAATAATGCATCCTTATTACTTTCCTAAAGATTTGCTCTTTTTAAAAGCTTTATTGAGATACAGTTTGATATTGAACTTGTGGGGTTCTGGGCGGCCAGAGGCATTGTCCACTATCAAAAGAACTTTAAAAAGGCAGGCTCTTACTGGCAAGGTACTTCCTGACTTCAGGGACAAAGTATCAGTGAAACCAATCCAGAAAAAGGATTCTCTTCTAAACCTTGTTGTACAGCCAAAAGACTGGC